CGCGACGAGCCACCGTCGCGATGGAAAGGCGATCCGGACTCGCGAGGCGACGACGATGGGCTGGCCTGGCGCGGCGAGTGTCTGCTGTCCGTCTGCAGTCCCGAGTCGGAGGGCGAGGGTCGTTGCACGTCCGAAGTCTGCGTCTGGCGGCCGGAAGGACTGCCGACGACGGTCGAGATGCGAGGCACCTTGGCCTTGGTGGACTGCTTGCGGTTGAGGTTGACCGACTTCATGCGCCTGATGTCCTGCGAGTCGCGGTACGCCTCGTGCATCGATACCTCCTCCGCATCGGCGGCCGCGGATGCATTGGACGCCGATAGATCCGCATCGCCAACGATGCGCGATGTCGACACGGGCGGAGAAGGTGGCACGACGCCACGCTTGCGCAGCAGCGCAAACAGGCGGTTGAGCGCCACACGCAGCAGGAAGGCATACTGCTCCAGCCGCGTGACTGACTCGAAGCCCGTGCGTAGACTGAGACCGCCGGCGCAGTTGGGGCAGAAGCACGCGTGCTGCCACGGGCCCGAGGCGGACACGGCGCGCGCGCCATTCTGGCCGTTGCCCTCGGTGCGACGTTTCGACTCGAGACCGAACTGCGAGGCGGGCAAGGAATCGGGTGCTCCAGCCGCAGGATCCGGCTGCTTGCGCGTCGAGGGTCCTTCGCGCAGCGCTGGCCGCTGGCAGGTGGAGCATTGGAGGCAGTTGGAGTGCCATCGCAGATTGACACCCATGCGCAGGCATTCCTCCTCGACCGTAGACCCGCAAGCGACGCACAGATCGGTGGCGGCTTCGCCATTCTCGCTCGAGCCCGAGCTGGTGGATCTGGGGAGCGAGCGGTAGCCGAACCAGCGTCCGTCGGGCCCGACGGTGTTGGTGTTGGGCGGCTGGATGCCCTGCTTGTCGTCGGCGGTGATGCTGCCGAGCTTGGCGGAGAAGGCGAGCTGGCTGAGGAACCAGTTGAGCGCCTCCTCGTTGTCGTACTCGCGGTCGAGCTTGAGCGCGCCGGTGAGCGCAATGCGGATGAGGATCTTGAGATAGTGCGCCAAGCCGGTGACGAGCGAGAGGAGCTCCTGGGTGATGCCCATGCGACGTGCGCCCGTCTCCTGGGTGTGGGAGAGCAGCGAGAAGAAGTTGACGATCTTCTTGCAGAGCATCCTTGCCTCGCGGATGTGCGAGATGCCCTTGGCTTCCTCCTTGCGGAAGTTGGCCTCGAGGTCGTCGATGGCCGAAAAGAGGATCTCGACGTGGAGGATGAACTTTTCGGCCATGCGGACGCCGCCGAGGTATCGGCCGCTGCTGACGTGGCGGAGCATCTCGGAGATGCACGCAGCGGAGCTCTCTTCGAAAGCGGAGAGGACGGTCCAGATGCGGTAGACGCGCTCCTCCATCTGCTTCTGCTTGTGCTTGAGGCTCGACGGCGTCTCGGCCGCCTCGATCTCGGTAGCGTCGGGCGAGGGCTCGGAACGCGAGGGTGCAAGCTGACCTGGCGATGACTCGACGGCTTCGCCCTGGCCTTCCTGGCTGCCCGCTGCATTGTCGGCCACTTCATCGGCGCCCGGTGCTGCTGTCAGCGCGGCGGCGCTGTCTTTGGGCGTGGAACCGGTGGGGCAGAGCTTGATGTTCCAAAACTTGTGGATCATGTAGCACTCGGGATGCCAGTGCTCGTCGGTGTTGTTGCGGTTGATCTCGACAAACTGCTTGAGGATGGCGGTCTTGCAGCCGGTGCACTTGATGGCGAAGCGGGTGCTGTAGTGAAAGTGGCAAAAGACGTGACCGTCGTGCTCGTAGTAGCTGTCCTGCGGGCCAAAGACGGTGGGGCAGACGGAGCAGGTGAAGTGTTCGACGTGGAACTTTCTGCCGAGGGCGGTGATGTAGCTGCCGCGAAGGGCGCCGCTGCACTTTGCGCAGATGAGGTCGAGGCGACGGAAGTAGTCGGTCTCGCAGAGCGGGAAGAGCCGGCCGGTGCCGGAGGAGTCGACCATGTCGTCTGTGGCGGGGAAGAACTTGGCGGCGACGACCTTGTTGCAGTCGTTGCAGCGGAAGCAGTCGAGGTGGTAGACGCTGCCTAGAGCGCGCACGAACTGGCCGGTCATGACTTTGCGGCACGCCTGGCAGGTCTGGTCGCGGCGTCGAGACGAGGTAGCCGCCGAGGAGGAGGAGGAGGGTTGTGACTGCTTTTGGACCAGGGACTGTGGCGCCGCGGATGCCGAGGTGGGAGGGTCTTGTGGCGAGGCAGCGGCGATGGGCGGTGCTGCGCGATCGGCTACGGCAGGGGCAGAGGCAGGGGTGGTGATGGGGTTGGGAGGCGCGTGGAGGTTGTGCGGGGATGCGACGTTGGAGGCGATGCCAGGACGGTTGGGCCATGCGGCGTCTGTGGCGTCTGGGGGGTACGGGTTGGCCGAGGTGTCGATGCGGGGTGCTGGACGCGATGAGCCGCGGGAGGGGAGGCTGGGTCTGGACTCGATGCTGTTGGAGCGTATGGAGGCTGTGGTGGCCTCGTGCTTTTCGCGCTCCTTCTCCCAGCTCCAGCCTGGATCGACGGCTCGACTCTTGATGCGATCCATATCGGCACGGCTACGAGAGCTGCTGCTGCTGCTGCTGCTGCTGCTG